CTTGCTGTTCAACCAGCCTGTTTCAGAGTTTCTCTCTTCACTGAGCAGCAGCAGTTCTGCAGAACCAGAAGACCTGGTTTTTACACCTCGTGTATTTCTTGGTTATGAAATAAGCAGCAAAGAAAGAGAAATGGAGGAAAGTTGAGGTTCTGGTTGTGTTTGGTTCCAATGACTGAAGTGTTGAAAGTTTCCTTTTTACCTCATGAAGAAACCCTGTCCACTGTGTATAGATCCTACTAGACTGTGTTTTGTCTTCTTCATACCTTTAATTTACTGTTATTTCTTATGGACTGGATCTTGTACATTTGTTCTAAGCCTTTTCTTGCTTCTTATTCCTTCTCGGCACAGAAATGTGGAAAATATGTTTGGAAAGAACAGAAAAACCAGTGTTGAGATGTTTACTGCACTTCCTATCAAAACTCTTGCTTTACTTTTTTACAGTATCAACCTAAAACTGTGCTAATTTGGTCACAATTTTCAGTTTGCATCTTTGAGACGCCCGTACATTTTACATCCACACATGCTGCTACATCAGCAATGACTTCAGGTAGAGCATAGGCACTGARCTTTATCACAATACAATATCCATTTGGATGATAAAATGTTTCTCCATTCCACAAAGTCTGTCATGATACAATAAGTCAGTGATTGATACGATGCAATGTATCCCCAATAATCAATGAAGGGATTATATCAATTGATATCAGGCATATGATGATAATATGGATCAATRTTTTCATTTTGCCCTGATGTAACTGAATCAATAAACATATAATCAACATTTCGATGTATTGCTACACTTCTAGCACCACTTCCAGCTTTGGTAAAAAAAAAAAGTCTTTAAAGCTCCATCAAATATGGAGCCTGTCCAGTGACACTGGATTAAATAAAAAATTAACTTTGGCCACAAATTAAATTTGAGCAGCTGACTCATTATATATGAATATGTGCATGATACCTCCTGAATTAAATCATATATTTACTGATAAATAAGCATAGTGACTCCATTAGGGAAGTACTCAGTCTGATTAGATTTGGGCATCAAAGGGTCAAAGGTCAAGGTCATTTATCATGATTGGTAACATAAAACTGGCATTTTTTTTCTAATTCCTCTACAGTACAAATAAAATACCTGGTTCCAAAAAAAAAAAAAAAAAAAAAAAGAAACAAATGATTATTTTGTAAGATACTGTAAAAAAAGTGTCGTATACATGGAAGGCTGTTAATTTGGGCTGCTTGGAGACGTTTCAGTCGACCATGAATCCTGCTGCTGACCGAAGGATTCTGGAGTCAAATGTGAGGCCGTTTGTCCAACAGCTTGAAGGAAAGTTTCTAACTGATTGACTGTTAGATGCAGTTTTGTATTTTATACTTTCTGATCATCGCAGCCTTAAAGTTTAAACAGAATAAGAGTTGGTGTGTGTCTTATCATGTGTTCTTTCTTCAGCCGAAAAAAAATGAGTGACGCTCTGACGTCTGATGTAAAAGTTAACACCTCCTGGGGTGTAACCAGGAAGAGATGAACATTATAAAGGTCAATTCATTGTTATAGCAGTGAGAAGTTCAGTGTTGCAGAGTGTCTGCTTCAGAGCAGGGCTCCTGTGTTTTGTTTTGATTTAGCTCAAGGTCTGACTGAGGCCTGTGTGCTGCACTCTGAACCTGACTGGAGTCAGAAGATTGAAAATAAAGTTTTAAGAAAAAATCCAGCTGATTCCTCTTTATTCAGACATACATTGTGAACAACACATTTCTCCTACAAGCTGATTTTTGAACCAATCGGATCATGATGAGACAGAACAAAGATGACAAACACAGCAGCTAATCTGTAATAAAATGGATAAAAAGACTCAGAACTCATCCTGACGGTAATGGTTTGAAAAGACCTTAAAGTGCCTGCTGTGATGTCAACGTGTTGTGATTAATATAAAAAAAAAACCTTTTTGTATTTGTAATAAAAGGATCTGATGGGCACTTTAAAACAGCTGCCTGTAAACAAAGAACAGAAGCAACACAGAAATTAATATCAGAGACTAATAAAGCCAAATATACAAATTAAATGATGGAACCATTTGTGTTTTTGTCCTTTTATTTCTCCTTTAATCATAAAAAATATAAACATTCAGACAAAAGAACACAGGATAAAGATATTTAACTGAACAATTTACAAATGAGTGATCTGCTGCTTCACACTAAATCTTCTTATCAGTGATAAAAATAAAAACTTTTCACTCAAAAAACCAACAAAACTAATTCTCAAACATCTCTACATGAAAACGTATCTGTTCTCAAACACAGCTGAATATTTTATTAAATAAGGCAACAACATGGGAGCCTCTTCATGAAGACATTATAATAACTTGTACTTATCAGAAAAAAGAAAAATCTTATTTGCATTTACAGCCGAACCAACAAAGATAAACTTAAGCTTTTCTAAAAAGCTGATCTGAAACAAACAGGCAGGTGGTCAAACTCCTTAGTTTTATCTGAACAGATTATTTATGTTTCACTTTGATGTGGAGAAGTTTAGAGAGTTAGTTCTACTTTTTTTCATGGCAGTTAGCAAAATGCAATAAAATAAAATGTACCTCATTAAGAAAAGGATTGGGCAATAATGGCAAAATCAACACAATTAATTGTGGCACTGAGCTGATTATTAGCTCTGTGGAGTCCCTCAAACTGCACACAATAGGATTTTGTCTAACCCTATTCTAAAGGAGAGGTGATATTCTGTGAATAATCTTCATCAGCAACCCTATACCCAACCCAAAGTACCATAATACCCTGACTACTGAAAGGTCAAACTATTTTCCACACTACACGTACAACAACACTCTACAGCTGTTTAAAATCTGAGAACTTAAGTGACGAGAAGTCTGAATATTAACAGAAAACTGTTTATCCTCATGTGTGGATTCTCATGTGTCTGTTTAAACTTGACTTATGTCCAAACTTTTGTCCACAAAGATCACAAACAAATGGTTTCTGTCCTGTGTGGATKMTCATGTGTSTGTTTAAATTAGACTTTAGTCCAAACTTTTGTCCACAAAGATCACAAACAAATGGTTTCTGTCCTGTGTGGATTCTCATGTGTCTGTTTAAATTAGACTTTAGTCCAAACTTTTGTCCACAAAGATCACAAGCAAATGGTTTCTGTCCTGTGTGGATTCTCATGTGTGTGTTTAAAACTGACTTTTGTCCAAACCTTTGTCCACAAACATCACAAGCAAATGGTTTCTCTCCTGTGTGGATTATCATGTGTCTGTTTAAAACTGACGTTAGTCCAAATTTTTGTCCACAAAAGCCACAAACAAATGGTTTCCGTCCTGTGTGGATGATCTTGTGTCTGTTTAAATATGACTTTTGTCCAAACCTTTGTCCACAAACATCACAAGCAAATGCTTTCTCTCCTGTGTGGATTCTCATGTGTCTGTTTAAATTAGACTTTAGTCCAAACTTTTGTCCACAAAGATCACAAACAAATGGTTTCTGTCCTGTGTGGATGATCATGTGTGTGTTTAAATTAGACTTTAGTCCAAACTTTTGTCCACAAAGATCACAAACAAATGGTTTCTGTCCTGTGTGGATGATCATGTGTGTGTTTAAATTAGACTTTAGTCCAAACTTTTGTCCACAAAGATCACAAACAAATGGTTTCTGTCCTGTGTGGATGATCATGTGTGTGTTTAAATTAGACTTTAGTCCAAACTTTTGTCCAC